ATAGTACCATAGAGTAACAACTATATATATTTTTTTGTTCAAACATGGGAATTCAAGAATAGTTCAGAAGGAAGGCAGGCAGTCCTTAAGAAAGAAGTATGAAATAAAAAAGTCTACCAACCTGAAGATCCTGCATGTTCAGACATGTTCCTTTCATCCTCTTCAACGCAGCTTCCTCCTGAGAAGGAACACTTCTCATGATGTTTCATTTGGGCAACCAGGCCTTGCATTTCTCTGTTGCACTGCTTGCATTTTGCACACATGCCTGTCTTACCCACAGGTAGAGGAACTTCATTAAAATATTCCCAAACTGGCTTTCTTTTACGGCCTGCTGCCATTATAGGTTTTCCCTTCTAGTGAGAGAATGGTATGGTAGATCTCAAATCAATGAAGGCTACACTCAGAAAGACCTCAGACTTCTGGAATATGCTGCTCAAACAGTTTCACTTTTGTTTCTACTGCCTGTCCCTCCCTTCTCACATTTATCTCCAAACTTATTCTCCTTGTCCACATCTATTCTGCCCCCAACAATCTTCTATCCATTGACCTTTTTGAAACTTTGCACTTTTAGAGAGAGGTAAGGGATTGACTATACAAATTTGCAGAGGGACAGTAGGGTTGAGGGCTGTTATTTCTCACCTCTATATATTATTTATTTTAAAACATTTTTGCTGTTAACAAGCATGTTATCTCTGGAAACACAAATCCACAGTTTGAGAACTGCAAAACTAAGCATCTCTGATGGTATCGTCTAGACTGAGCACTGAGTCCCAGTGGGTAGGTAGAAAGATTAACCTAAATAATCTATACAGAAGCCCCTGGAACCCCATAAGATGAACTACTGGAACTCATTTACAAACCTTTTCTTAAACATTACATGAATATATTGTCTTATACTATAGAATTAAAATTTATAATCCCTATTCCATGATGAGATACCTTTGAGCTATTATGTATCTTAATTAAAACTATCTTTAGATTGGATTTTTTTTATAAAATGCTTTTTGAGGAAAAAACCTATTTAAATTAAAAAAAAATCTCATTTTTGATTAAAAAATAAAAAATAAAAAAAAATCATTGATTTTTATCCACCCTGAATGGGATGCAGCCTCATATGTATAATGTCTGTGTTCAGCATTGGTCATCCCATCTCCAAACGGATATTGCAGCATTAGAGGGGTTCAGAAAAGAGAGGAGAATGATTAAGGGCCTGGAAAAACTCTTGTATGAAGAGACTGAAAAGATTGGGATTGCTTCCTTAAAAATGAGACAATGGGGCACATGATAAAAGTCTGCAGTGACGGGTCTGCAGAAGGTAGAGCGAGTAATTCTGTTCTCCTGTCTCCTAACAAAAGGACAAAGGGAAAGTCAATTACATTAAAAGGTGTGAAATTTCACACAATAAAGAAATACTTTTTTGGATTGTGGAATTCTGTCACTGGCAGTCATTGTTTCAAGATCCAAAAGGAGACTGGATATCATAGAACTGGAAGGGACCTCAAGAGGTCATCTAGTCCAGTCCCCTGCACTCATGGCAGGACTAAATATTATCTAGACCATCCCTGACAGGTGTTTGTCCAGCCTGCTCTTAAAAGTCCCCAATGATGGAGATTCTACAACCTCCCTAAGCAATTTATTCCAGTGCTTAACCACTCTGACAGTTAGGAAGTTTTTCCTAATGTCAAACCTAAACCGTCCTTGCTGCAATTTAAGCCCATTGCTTTTTGTCCTATCCTCAGAGGTTAATGAGAACAATTTTTCTCCCTCCTCCTTGTAACAACCTTTTATGTACTTGAAAACTGTTATGTCCCCTCTCAGTCTTCTCTTCTCCAGACTAAACAAACCCAATTTTTTCAACCTTCCCTCACAGGTCATGTTTTCTAGACCTTAAATTGTTTTTGTTGCTCTTCTCTGGACTTTCTCCAATGTGTCCACATCTTTCCTGAAATATGGTGCCCAGAACTGGACACACTACTCCAGTTGAGGCCTAATCAGCATGGAGTAGAGTGGAAGAATTACTTCTCGTGTCTTGCTTACAATACTCCTGCTAATACATCCCAGAATGTTTGCTTTTTTTTGCAACAGAATTACTGTTGACTCATATTTAGCTTGTGATCCACTATGACCCCCAGATCCCTTTCTGCAGTACTCCTTCCTAGGCAGTCATTTCCCATTTTGTGTGAGTGCAACTGATTGTTCCTTCCTAAGTGGAGTACTTTGCATTTGTCCTTATTGAATTTCATCCTGTTTACTTCAGACCATTTCTCCAGTTTGTCCAGATCATTTTGAATTTTAATCCTGTCCTCCAAAGCACTTGCAACCCCTCCCAGCTTGGTATCATCCGCAAACTTTATAAGTGTACTCTCTATGCCTTTTTCTAAATCACTGATATTGAACAGAACTGGATCCAGAACCAATCCCTGCGGGACCCCACTCGTTATACCTTTCCAGCATGACTGTGAACCACTGATAACTACTCCCTGGGAACGATTTTCCAACCAGTTATGCACCCACCGTATGGTAAGCTCCATCTAGGTTGTATTTCCCTAGTTTGTTTATGAGTAGGTCATGCGAGACAGTATCAAAAGCCTTACTAAAGTCAAGATATACCACATCTACTGTTTTTTTTCCCTCCCCTCCCCCCCCCCCACTCCTCCCCCAAGAGTTGTTACCCTATCAGGTTGGTTTGACATGATTTTGTTTTTGACAAATCCATGTTAACTGCTATCACCTTATTATCTTCTAGGTGTTTGCAAGTTGATTGCTTAATTATTTGCTCCATTATCTTTCCGGCTACAGAAGTTAAGCTGACTGATCTGTAATTCCCCGGGTTGTCCTTATTTCCCTTTTAATAGATGGGCACTATATTTGCCCTTTTCCAGTCTTTTGGAATGTCTCCTGTGTTCCATGACTTTTCAAAGATAATTGCTAATGGCTCAGATATGTCCTCAGTCAGCTCCTTGAGTATTCTAGGATGCATTTCATCAGGCCCTGGTGATTTCAAGACATCGAACTTGTCTAAGTAATTTTTGACTTGTTCTTTCCCTATTTTAGATTCTGATCCTACCTCATTTTCACTGACATTCACTATATTAGATGTCCAATTGCCACTAACCTTCTTGGTGAAAACCGAAACAAAGCACCCCTGCCATTTCCACATTTTCTGTTGTTGTTTTTCTCCCCTCGTTGAGTAATCGGCCTACTCTGTCCTTGTTCTTCCTCTTGCTTCTAATGTATTTGTAGAATGTTGTCTTATTTCCTTTTATGTCCCTAGCCTGTTTGATCTCATTTTGTGCCTTGGCTTTTCTAATTTTGTCCCTACATACTTGAGTTATTAGTTTGTATTCATCCTTTGCAATTTGACCAAGTTTCCACTTTTTGTAGGACTCTCTTGAGTTTTAGATCATTGAAGATCTCCTGGTTAAGCCAGGATGGTCTCTTGCCATACTTACTATCTTTCTTACGCAGTGGGATAGTTTTCTCTTGTGCCCTTAATAATGTCTCTTTGAAAAAATGTCAACTGTCTTCAATTGTTTTTCCCCTTAGACATGGGATTTTACCTACCAGCTCCCTGAGTTTGCTAAAGTCTGCCTTCTTGAAATCCATTGTCTTTATTGTGCTGTTCTCCCTCCTACCATTCCTTAGAATCATGAACTCTACCATTTCATGATTATCCATAAAAATGTTCAGAGTTCTCAACTAATGCTAACAAATTCTGGAAGGGATGTTAAGCATACTTAAGATAGTTAAAGACCTGCATGAGACCTAATGTAGGGGGGACTTTATCTCCCGTCAGCTTGCTGTGATGTTCTTACACTTTCCTTTGAAGTAGCTGGAGTTGGCTACTGTCAGAGACAGGACACTGGACTAAATGGATCTTGAGTTTGATTCAGTATGGCAATCTCTGTTCCCATGCTCCCCTTCAGGTCTTTTCATTTAAGGATTGAGAGAGCTTGCAGTTCAGATCTGAGTCTTCCAAAGAGCACTTGGCAAAAAGCACTGAAGACTCCAGGCTTTATATCCTTGAAATGTCTAAGGTAGAAAACACGCAGGAGGGGAAAAAACGTTAAAAAGAAAACCAAAATCCCTTCAGTCTTCATACGTTATAAAGAACTAAAAAAGAACCACTATTTTTTTTTCTTTGCAGGTCCCCTTTAGATGTATGGGGTAGAGAGGAATGCAGAACTCAGGTCATCCCTGGTCTGGTCAGATTGAGTCAGTTCATTGCAGCGAGCTGTACGCTAGCATTTTTTGGTATCCCCAGCTATTCATGCAGTTTCAAGGCTCTAATTTTTAAATAGTGTTTCTAGTCTTCATGGCTGTATAGAGAATCTGTCCAAAAGTACAACCAGTGCAGGGATTCCTGATTTCATCTACAGATAGAGAAAACTAATAGTTTTAAATGGGTTCTGTTGGAACTGTTGACATTGTGAACTGCTATTTTAGCTGAAACATCCTGGGATTGAGGGGAAGATTTGGGATTTTAGTTGGGATTTGGAGTTGTGTCCAAGGTTTAAAGAGAATGCTGCCACTTCCCAACACACTCAAATTCTCAGTGATTATAAAGCTATGCTACCGTAATATATAGACATTGAATAAGAGATGGTGATACTGCAGCAGTGATACTAAATTAACTACAATAGTAGTGTGGGCTTAGTCAGCACTATATTAACAGAGTTACTATTGCTTCCAGTAATCACAGAAGACCAAATGTAGAAGGAAAGAGGAGTTTAAATGTTATAGGCAAGGAAAAAGAGATTTTCTGTTGAAATTTGAGAAAATACAGATACAGAAATGCAGGAGCTGTAGAGAAGTGTTCTTGCGCTAACAGCTGTGGCGTTGGGTCCTGGACAAAGGAAGCCAGCATTATACAAGCAGATAGAGCTCAGTGACTGGGGGAATATGAGAAGACTGCACAACAGGTTTGGGAGTAACTTGTTTCTCTGTTTTTGTTTTTTTTGTGTCTCCTCCCCCCCCCCTCCCTCCCCCCCACTCCTCAGATGAGACAGACCGGGGAGTGGATCAGAGGGATGGGAAAGAGCGCTCTGACTCTCCAGGCTGCGAGGAGAGTGATGCCAACAAAGAGGAGAATCCCAGGCTGCGTTTGCCCACACGTTCTGACATGATCTGTGGCTATGCCTCTCTGAAAGGTATCAGGGAGGGTCCCATGGAGGTGTCTGTCTCCCTGTCTGTGAGGGTGTTAAAGGTGGTAGCCCTCCTCTGAGCTTCAGCAGTTCCCCTGTGTGTGTCCCCTAGAGACTTCCTTCTCTGGATCTCCCTGTGTTTGTCCCTCTCTATTTTCACCATGGGCTGATGCATTTTTTATGTTTTCAGGCACAGCTGCCATGCGAAATACCAAGCGTGGATCCTGGTATATTGAGGCTCTCACTTCTGTGTTTGCTGAGGATTCTCAAAACATGCATGTGGCTGACATGTTGGTGAAGGTAAGCTGAGACACCCCTCTCCTACATTTGCCTGATTCTTGCAGTGTCTTATGCTTCAAGTTCTTAGGCCTGAGTTGCCCGCAGAAGAGTGCTCCTGCTTCACACGCTACAGCAGAGGTTCTCAAACTAGGGGGCGTGCACCCCTGGGAGAGGTGCAGAATGTATTCTGAGGGGACGTGAGAAGCTTTAGGAGAGCAGTAGCTGCTGGCCAGGCGCCCAGCTCTGAAGACAGCGCCATCGCCAGCAGCACCGGAGGGTGGCAATGCCTGGCCAGCAGCTGCCGTTCTCCACTCTGCCTTCAGAGCTGGGCAGCGGTATATACTTGTGTGGTGGTGGCGTGGGGGGCATAAACAACTACAAACACACAGAAGGGGGGCTGCAATCAAATAAGTTGGAGGAAAAACTGCTCTATGGTACCTCCTGCTGTGAATGGCCATGGCAGAGCCCCCCACATCCATTGCTCCTGCACCATTATCTATAGAGCCTCCTGCTAGGAGGAACTGAGGCAGTTCCCTTGAACTAATTCTCTATGGTGCCTTTACCTGAGAGAGCCTTGGATTGGATTAACTGGTTGATCTGTTTGTTGGGGCTTGTATCACTTATACACCAGGAATGAAGTTTTCCTTAGCTCTGTTCCCTTTGTTTCTCAAACCACCTCCTGTTTCTTTCATCTTTCAGGTGAATAGACTAATCAAGCAGCGAGAAGGCTATGCCCCTGGCACAGAGTTCCACCGATGTAAGGAGATGTCAGAGTACTGTAGCACACTCTGCAAAGACCTTTACCTATTCCCTGGCTATGTTCCTAGGAACTAACCCTGCTGTTCTTGTTCTGACGGATGTTCTGACAAAGCTTTAATGTGGACAGCCATACTTTTACTGCTGTCAGTCTGGGCATCTGACAGCGCAGCCCACAACAGGAAGTGTCCCTTCAAGATTGGGTGCTCTTCCTGCTTGTGTGAATCTCGCTAACTCCTCTCTGTCTGGGAGAATCTTACAACTGTTGGTGACCCCCAACTCAGTTCAAGGTTTAAAATCTTAATGTTCCACTGGCTTGTCTCACTTTTAGCTGCTGGGCCAGGGGGAATCAATGGGGGAATCAGGGCAGTGATTGCAACACCTTCTGAATGAAAGGAAACCTGTGGGCATTGGTAGCCAAGAATATGAAATCAGAATCAGCCTTTCCTTTTTAAATTTTGGAAAACTTGGGTCTGTTTCTAAAGAAAATTAAGTTCTATATCGTTTTTATAAATTGCTGCTTAATTTTTTTTATACCGTTTAACTTGTTAATGACTTTTTAAAAAGTTCTCTGCCTGGTTTCCCAAGCAGCAGGGTCTACAGCTGTGAAGGACAGGAAGGGATGCCCCTCCCTGAAGTCAGGAGAGACCTTCCTCCCAGTAAAACAGAATCTCTCACTACTGAAAGTCCCATGGTGAAGGTTTTCTCTTCATTTCCAGTATACACCCAAGTTTGACACACTCATCTACTTTGGTTTGGTGTTTTTGTTGTTGTTGTTTTGTTTAAGTCCTGATATTTTGCATGTGTTTTCTATAGCCATAGGAGAGAATTTCAGATTAGCTGGAAAAGACATTGTTGAGCTCTAGCTCTGAAAGCAAAGCTATGTTTCTATTTTAGAAGTCTAATTCTGTCTTGGAAATATTTTGAATCTGGGAACTCCAGGCTTGTTTCCCTCATGAGTTCCAAATGTGAGTTAGTGCACAGTTTTTGTAATACCCACATCTAATTCCTATGGTTTTCTGACCATTCAAATACTTCAGCAGGCTTCTGATGAGTCTATAAACTGTGCCAGGCTTGTGGATTCCTTGTCTTTTGTTTAAGAAATGTATAAATCTTTTTCTTTGCAAAGAGCCTGTCACTTTGTTTCTTCATCACAATGATTTTCTTTCCGTTTAAAGTTTCTTTAAAAAACGGGGGGAGTTGCAGAATTCAGCTTCACTCCCCCCCATTAATTTTTGCTTCCCCAACTATGGGCAGCTAGAGATCTTTGCTTGTCCACTGTTCAGTCCACAGGGCCAGTCAGAGAGAAGAGATGGAGTAGGACACTCCATCTGTTGGAATCTATCTATGCATTCTCTTTTCCAGTACAGTAACTCCTCACTTAAAGTCGTCCTGGTTAACGTTGTTTCCTTGTTACATTGCTGATCAATTAGAGAACATGCTCGTTTAAAGTTGCGCAATGCTCCCTTATAATGTTGTTTGGCAGCCGCCTGCTTTGTCCTCCGCTTGCAGAAAGAGCAGACCTTTGCAGCTCACTGGTGGGGGCTTGGAACCAGGATGGACCAGCAGCCCCCCTATCAGCTCTCCACTCCCCTAAGTTCCCTGTGTGGCAGCTGCCCAGCGGGCTATCAATTGTGGCAGTTCAGCTGTCCCTCCCCCCACTGCCATGTGCTGCTCCTGCCCTCTGCCTTGGAGCTGCTCCTGGGAGCCTCCTGCTTGCTGTGTGGGGGGAGAGGTAGGGGAGAAGAGGGGTGCTAATGTCAGGGTGTCCCCCTCCCCCCTGCTCCGCTTACCCCATCTCTGTAGGGGCGGGGGGTGGAGGGGGTGAACATGACAGGGCTCAGGATGGAGGGAGCTTGCTAGCAGCAGCTGCTGTTTCAACTTGCTGATCTACTTAAAACAGCAATGTACTTAGAGTGGGGTCAGCGTACTTAAAGGAGCAATGTGCAACACACTCTCTCTCTCTCTCTCTCTCTCTCTCTATCTGTCTGCCATGCTGTCTCCCTGCCCTCCATTTGTGCTGCCTTGTAGAGTGTGAGGCTACATTAACAACAATGTGTTAACCCTTGAGGGCTCAGCCAAGTGCTAGTTCATCATTCAGCAGCAAGGCATTCCCTGGGAAATATCCCTCCCTCTGACTCCAGCACCTCAACCAAGCTTCACAATCATCATTGCTGATGATTTAACAATATTAAATTGTTATTTAAAACTTATAGTGTGTGTATATAATTTATTTACATTAATTCTTATGGGGAAATTGGCTTCACTTAACATCGTTTCGCTTAAAGTCACGTTTTCCAGGAACATAACTACAACGTTAAGCGAGGAGTTACAGTACTGTAATTGTCTCCCACTTCAGGACCTGCCCTGGAGTGTGATCAGGGAGATAGAGGGCCATTCTGCACTCTCCCTTTGTCCTCTTGTGTGTTTCATGGCAAGCAAATCCCAGGAGTGCTGGATTAAGGTCTGAATTTCTGAGCCTACTTTTTCCCTACTCCATGGCAGTGTGTTAGCAGTCCTCTCATCTGGATTACTGTTTTTCCTTTTCCCAGGATCTTTCTTCTAAACTCCCACCCCCACCCCCACCCCTCCTACAATAATTATTTTAAAATATTTCTGGAGGGAGGCCAGAAGGCTGCTTGTCTGCTTCATCCTTGCTCTGCCTAGCAGATATGAAGGTCATATTCTTCCAGTTAAAAGGTGTGCTGCACGAATATACATCCTACACACAGCAGCTGAGGAGCAGAATACTAGTGACCATGTCTGCCAGTTGGCACCTTACCTTGGAGCTCAAGATAGCAACTCAAAGGGTATTTCCTCTCTGGATGAGAAGTTTTCCTCTGGGTGCTCCTTTCTCAGAAGTAATGCAGTGTTTCGCAATGGATGCGTGTCCATGCGGCATCTCCTCTCTGTTTGGTGAAGGGAACTCCAGTAGAGCTGCACCAGGTCTCAATGTCACTGCCACTTTCATATATACTTTTTTTGTATGCCTGTATGTACTGCCTCTGGATGCCAAAATACAGAGTTCATGTTTGGTTATATCTGTGCCTCGTTTCCTGTCTGGAACACTGCTCCCTCTGTTTTTTTACCCCCATAATGGAACTTTGTGTATGGAGAGAATTATGAATGAGCTTTTGTTCAGATGTGCCCAGGGACTCTGCTTGGGGGGTTGTGTTCTTGTGCTATTGCCCAGGCATTCTGGTGTAGGGAGTGTGCCCAACTGAGGAACAGTGGGACTGCGGTATGATGCAGACTTCCTTACAGCAGGGATCAGCCTGAGTGTGGGTATGTCTGGTAAGGTGTGAATGGAATCAGGTCCTGGAAAATCTCCCACAAGGATGAGGGTAGTATCCTTTGTTCAGAGCACCTGCCATTAAAACTGTGAGTCTGTTTATAAGAATTAGCCACACTGAGGAAAAATATACGCAGAGGATTTTTTAATCATCTCTTTCCCCGAGGCCACCCACTCCACCGAATTTCACAGAAATGGGCATCATAAAGGTTCCCCTGAATGACATCTCCCTGTCCCATGCTTTTAGTGTTTTTGCAACCTGTGTATGGGGGCAGAAGTGCAGTACCAATGGGAAGCCACATAGTGGCTTCAGAGATGCATGCAGAGAAGGATGAAGGGGATAAAACCCAGTCCCATTACCAGTGAAAGAGAATACAATCTTCTATAGAGAGTCATTTCTGTGACTAAGCCCCAAAGAGTTTATAAATGAACTGTAGATAAGTCAAGGAGCCATTTCCTCCCATCTCCCTCAAAAACACCCATCACTGTCTCCTCTGTTGTCTGTGCCCCTCATTGTACTTCCCTGCCTCATTTTCCAGAATTTGTGAAGAAATCTGTGAGTGAAAGTACAATGGAAGAATTATTAAAATCCAGCAGTGTAGAAGGTAACTGAAGAATTGTAAAAAGAACAGGAGTACTTGATGCAGATGAAGATGCAGTAGTAAGCACCCAATGCTATATTCCTCTGGCTGTTCCTGTTGCTTGCATTCTTCATTTTCAAAGTGCCTTAATAAACAACTATTAAGATTTGATTTAAAAAACAAAAAAAACCCTAAAAGGATCACTTAAGGCTTTCAGGGAAAAGAAGACACACAAGAAAAAGTTAATGCTAGACAAAGGTGTTCCTATAAATAAGCCTTTTACAAATCTATCAGTTGGGTAGTTTCCGTCCATCTGTACATCTTCTGTTGTCCATCTGTGCTGCTGACTGTCCTTTAAAGCAACTTTGAGCTGCACTTTTTTGCGAACTACTGCTGGTGCCTGAATGCACAGGGCTTTAGGGGGACACTGCAGTGTATGCAGGGGGAGGGATAGCTCAGTGGTTTGAGCATTGGTCTGCTAAACCCAGGGTTGTGAGTTCAATCCTTGAGGGAGCCATTTGGGGATTTAGTTGGGGATTGGTCCTGCTTTGAGCAGGCGGTTGGACTAGGTGACCCCCTGAGGTCCCTTCCAACCCTGATATTCTATGATTATCATCTGCCCAGGGGTCAAAGTATATATTGCATGCTTACTTCTCCACTGCAGAACAGCAGGTAGTGAATGGGATAATGGGGGGCACTGTTAAGGAAAATATTTACCATTTTCTTCTGTTTCTCCCAGAAACTCTGATCTTAATTTGGAAAATGAATTAAATTCAGCTTGGATAGCAACATTTGCATGGGTTGAAATCTGGCAGAAGACCAAAGACATGCTGCACTGGGAAAGTATCTAGGGATGGGGTCTCGTCTGTTCTTATTTATGATCTTTGGTAATAATCTGGAAGAGAAGACAAGCAGTATGTTAATGATACTCACAGATGAGGCTAAAGTGGAAGGAGTTACAATCAGCACTGAGGACATGGAAATAATCAAAGCAACCTGTAGAGATTAGAAAAATAGGCAGGATAAAAATGTTTTAACTTGGAAAAATTCAGTCCAGGCAAAAATACAATTATTTAACAGTAGGGAGAAACCTGGGAAGCACTGAGCCTGTGGAGCATTCGATGTGATAGAGAACAGCAACTTGATTAGACATCTTCAAAATGGGATATGGTAGGACATAATGGCCACTGTGGTTTGGGGCCATACATGAAGAGCAGGGAACTAGAGTTTTTCAAAAGATAGCAGTGGTGAGATCAGATCTAGAGCATGCATTCCATTCTGGGCACCTACTTACCAAAGTGCAGGGTTTTCAGAACCACAAAAGTGATTGGGGAGGTGGAGGATGTGACTATTCATTATTATTTCTGTGCACCCAAAACTGGGAGGTGCCTCAATAAAACAAAGGACCCAGAGGAGCCTGCAATCTAAATTTGACATAAAACAAGCACGGGCCTCCCACAGGCCTCCCAACAGACAAATGGCAGAGAGGAAGGCACGTGGGTGACAATAGTAAGGTGGCCTAGTAAGGCATTTATGTTTCCAGATGGTTTCATTAAATTAGTTTATCTACAATGAGTTATAAAAGTTTCTTCTTGTGGACATGATGAAAAAATTGGTTTTCAGAAGAAAGAAGAAAATGAGAAATACAAGAGCTGTAGTAAACCTAGGTTGACTAAATGATAGGTATGAAGGTGATAGTGTGGAATGATTACTGGCTACAAGAGTGTAAACATCAAGGAGGGAGAACAAATGCTCGGGGGTGGGTGGGCTAAGGGATAGAACCAGGAGTAATAGGAAATAATTAAAGAAAAAAAAAAAAAAACCCTACACTGAATGTGAGGGCATCTATGTGCACAGTAAGATTTGAACGTAGAATAGTCTCCCACGGGTTGCTGTAGCAGTCTTATCATCTGGGACATTTGAAATGCACAAAGCTGTACTAGGGACTGTGCTGTAGGGAATAATCCTGCACAGGCCCCAATAGACGAGGGTCCAGATCCTCAAAGGTATATAGGTGCCTAACTTCCATTTATATCATTGGGAGTTGGGTGCATAAATACCTTCAAGCATCGGCCTAGATGAGTTTCCCTATATCTAGTTTGGATGATTCTTAACTTCCATCCCCTCCAATTTTAATCTTCCTCTCCGCCAGCCTCCAAGTGCCATCAAGCCCCTTCTGCCCCAAGAACCTGCCATTCAATCACCCCTCCCTGTCTCCGGCCTTGGATGGAGAAGCAACGCTGTCTGAGCAGGGAGATAGAAATCTTATCACCTTTTAATTTACTGAGCTGTCCCAGTGCCAGTGCAGCAGGGACAGATATTAGAGCAGAGAAGCGGCTGCTGTGTCAGAGTATGGACAGAGTGGGGGGTCTCTGGTTACACTCTCCCTCTCTCTCCCCTCCCCGCCCCTAACCTTCACTCTCAGGTTCTCTGGACTCTTAGCTGGAGCACTCCGACTCCCTCCTCTGTTTTTTCCCATTCCGTAATCCTGCAGCGGGGAGGCAGAAGGGAAGACGCCTCCCCGCATACCTTCCCCTCCCCAATATTTTTTCATTC